GGTACAACCATTATTGTGATTTTAACATTGTCTGATGTTAGCAAGTCTTTTTGAATTATAAGAGCAATGAATAACTGTACTGTTCAGATGATCCAACCACATGCTTTTTTTTTTTTTTTCTTTGTGAATGACATATTAGCAGAAGTTCTAAAGCATTTGTGAGTGTGGACTGACTTGCCAGGTCAGGAAGCTAAGGAATGAAAGAGGCCGAAGACCTCTTCCCAGGCAAGTACCAGGGAAACCTGTGCAACTGAGCTTTGACACAGAGGGAGGGAGGCTCCTCAAAGACCAGGGTTTGGGGTGCAGACCTGAGACACACTTGGAATGAGCAGAAAAAGGAAGGCGGCAAGGCCACTTCCCTAGAGCATAAGTCACACACTGTTCCTTTGCTGGCTCAGTTACTGAGCTGGGGTATGTGTAGTGTTTAAGCGAGTGTGTGTGTACAGGGTGAGAGAGAGAGATGATGCGAGTATATACACATCTAGTATACACGTATTTATCTGGACCATAGTTACTGCCTCCTGTACTGCACTGCTGGAGCTTTATATTAGGGTTATGTTTCATGTCATTTCATACACTGTCATGCAACTGACTTGTTCAGAAACCTTCCATGGTTTCCCAATATCTGCTGGGAAAATTCGCATCTCACCAGCAGCTCCACAACACAGCCGCAGCTGACCTGGCCTGCCTCACCTCCCACCTCCCGAGAGGTTCATGTCCCCGCAGGACCCCTTGCCCTGTTCCCTTTCCAGATCCCAAAATGTGGCATAGAGCCCTCTCTCGCTCTAACAGTGAAGTGCTAGCACTGGTATCACCTCTCTCCGTGAAGACTTTGGTTTTCCTGATCTGATGTGACTTCTTTTGCAAAACAGTAAGGTCCTTGAAGACAAGGACCAAACCGCCCAAGAATACCCATAGTTTTCAAATGAATCAATTTACCTTTTTCAATTCCTTTAACTCCCATACCAGAGCCCTTTCCTAAATTTTACTCATTATATTCTGCATTGTGCAATAATTAATTAGGCAATTATAATATATATATATATATATATATATATCTCCTCTCAAGTTCTTTGAATGTAAGGATCACATGACACATATTTCTTGCACTTCTACACCCACCCCAGATCTATGGTAAATGTTCAATCAACATTTACTGAACATTTACATTAAATCCAGGATTTAAATGCCAATAACTTTTCTGTAACACAGAGGAGAGGGTTGAAAATATAAGTTAGCCTCATTCCAAAACAAACTGAAAAGTGGTGAGTAGTTTACCTTACTCTGTGGGTCTCCCATTCTCTACTCTGCCACCCAGCACAGGAGAAATCTAGGTAGTCCTCAATTTAGCAATAAGTTTCATTCTCCATCTTTATATGTATATGTCATTGATTTAAAAATTACAATTTATTTCCCTTTGGGAAAATATTATAATGTTTAAGATCCCTGACAAGACCCCAAAAGCTGATTTGAACTCTCACTGAAGCAGAAATGGTATATTTGCAATGAAAAGTAGGAAATATAACTACTGACATATTTCCCTAGTAAAAGAACCAATAAGCAACCAAATACAAGTGATTATTTTTAACTTGAATAATCACGCCCCGAGAAAATCAGATTTAACCATAGAAAAAGAAAGCTGTATCTGCCCATTCTCTCCCAGTTGCTGTCATCATCAGTTTTTTGGAGACTTTCTCTTACGAAATGAAGATGTGGCCTGAGAGCCTCAGTCTTCCTCTTGACCTCAAGGCCGGCCACAACTCTGAGTAATTTCAGGATCCACAGGGGACCACATTCAATATTTCAGTCATTCTTTTCCTTCATCTCCTCATCTTCAAGGATCTTCACCACCCCCCTGTAGTTTCATTCTCCCACGGGCACACCCCAAACTGTGCTATCCCCAAGGCTGCATCATCTTTAAATGTTGAGCTCACATGTGGAACCCGCTCTCTGACTGCTTACCTCCTCCCCTTCCAGGTCGTTTACTACATTAGTCCCAACATGCCAGCTCTTCAGCCTGTTTGAAACGTCCAGTTTGCTGTTCCTGGCTAGATCTCTAGAGCCTCCTGTTTCAGGTCTCCAAGTTAAATTCCAAGATCCAACATTTCAACTCTTTTTGTACCACTGTCCTTAAACTGCATTGTTCCGTCAAACACAATCCAGGACAATTACAGTTGTTCATCTAGTGCACTAGAAATTGTACTAGAAATTCTGAGAGCTCCTGAGAGGCTAGGGGGCAGGAAAGACCAGTCATACATCCAGTTTGACCTTTATTGTAACTCTTGGTCACCTAACTCAACCTTAATCTTTCCTGGCAATCCTAAACTGGATGGACAAATGGATAGATGGAGGATGGATAATATATGGAAATGTAAAAACGCTGAAGAGAATCTCTGAGTCCTTTGTAATGCTTTCAAGGTGAATGGCACTTAGTCTAGCATTTCTAATTTTACTTCCAATCATATGGCTTTGCAATTCTGAGAAGGAACAAAGTTGGAGGCATCACACTTGTTGATTTCAAACTATATTACAAAGCCATAGCAATCAAAAGAGTATGGTATTGGCATAAAACAGACATATAGACCAATGGAACAGAACTGAAAGCCCAGAAATAAACCCACACATATAAACTCAACTAGTATTTAATAAAATAGCCAAGAATACTCAGTGGGGAAAAGATAGTATCTTTAATAAAAATGATGTTGGGAAAACTGGATATTCACATGAAAAAGAATGAAATCAGACCCCTATCTTACATCACTCACACAAATTAACTTGAAATGGATGAAAGATTTAAATGTAAGGCCTAGAGCTGTAAAACTACCAAAAGAAAACACAGGGGGAAAGCTCCTTGATGTTGGTCTTGGCAACAATATTTGGATATGACACCGAAAGCACAAGCAACAAAAACAAGTGGAACTACATCAAACTAAAAGACTTTGCACAGGAAAAGAAATAATCAGCAAAATAAAAAGGCAACCTACAAAATGGAAGAAAATATTTGCAAACTATCTATCTGATAAGGAGTTCATATCCAAAATATAAAAGAAACTCATACAGTTCAATAGCAAAAACAAAACAAAAACAAAAAACATCCAACTTAAGATTTGGCAAAGGGCTTGAATACAAAGAAGACATCCAAAAGCTGAAAGGTGTATGAAGATGTTCAACATCACTAACAATCAGGGCAATGCAAATCAAAACCACATGAGATATCACTTCATACCCTTCATACCTGTTAGAATGGCTATTATTTAAAAAGGCAAGAGACAAGAGTTGGCGATGACGTAGAGAAAAGAAAACCCTGTTGCACTGTTGATGGGAATTTAAGTTGGTAGTCACTATGCAAAACAGTATAAAAGTTCCTAAGAAAATTAAAAATAGATCTACCACATGACCCAGCAATCCCACTGCTGCGTGTATATCCAAAGAAAATGAAATCTCTGTCTCAAAGAGGCACCTGCAGCCCCATGTCCATTACAGCAGTGTGGACAATAGCCAAGACATGGAGACAGCCTGAGTGACCATCAGTGAATGAACAGGCAAAGAAAATTTAACATATATGAATATTATTCAGCCATTACAAAAGGAAATCTGCCTTTTGCAACAGCATGTATGGACTTGAAGGGCATTGTGTTACGTCAAACAAGTAAGACGGAGAAAGACAAGTACTGTACGATCTCCTTATCTGTGAAATCTAAAGAACCAAACTCATAGAAACAGAGTAGAATGGTGGTTGCCCAGTGGGGGGGAGGGGGCGGTTGGGGAGGGAAGTGGGGAGGTGTTGGTCAAGAGCACAAGCTTCCAGCTGTATGATGAGTAAGGTCTGGTATCTAATGTACAGGACGGTAGATACAATTAATAGTACTGCATTAGATACTTGAGAGCTGTTAAGAGAGTAGATCACAGGTGGCAAACACAAGGCCCGCAGACCAAATCCAGGCCTTCACCTTGTTTTATCCTGCCCGGCACCTTGTTTCTACCAGAGGCAGTGCCGAGCTCTCACTTAACTGTTAAGAAGTAGTTATGTGGATTGAGCACGGGCTGTGACCCAAAGTGTCACAGGTTCGGTTCCCAGCCAGGGTACATGCCTGGGTTGCAGGCCATAACCCCCAGCAACCACACACTGATGTTTCTCTCTCTCTCTCTCTATCTCCCTCCCTTCCCTCTCTAAAAATAAAATAAATAAAATCTTAAAAAAAGTATATTTTTTTCTAAAAAAAAAAAGAAGTAGTTACATGTATACCGTCCTAAAATTACATTCGGCCCTTTGAAGGCAGCCTCAGGGCTGATGCGGCCCCCAGGGAAAACGAATTTGACAGCCCTGGAGTAGACTGTAAATATTATAGCCACGCACAAAAAATGGTAATTATATAAGGGGGTGGCGATGTTAACTAACCTTACTGCCATATATACATGTACCTAATCATCATGTTGCGCACCTTAAACTTGCATACATTATAGGTCGACGATATCTCACTAAAACTGGAAGAAAATAAAATCATATGGCTTTGTTTTTTCTTTAAGGTAAATGTACCTGTGTGGCTCATACTTCACAAGCACATGACACTTTTCTGCTTTCATAACTTCTTTGTCCATGATCACAGAGGAGGAGACACATTCCTGGGGAAGGAAAAGAAAAGCCCAAAAGAGAGTGCAGGAGGAAGAAGGGGCGTCAAGAATATGCTATGTGTTGTACATCAGAAAGAGACGGCCTAAAACAAAACTGTGATATAAGCCACAAAAGAGAAAATAAGGGTTTGTAGTGGTTTGTGTCTCCTAGGCCTTGTGTCAGCCTCAACACAGTGTTATTGTTTAGCTGTTGCCCACTGATCAACAAGTGTTTTTGGAACACCTTGGATTCGCCAGGCACTACTCAAGGAGCTCGGGAAACAGGGATGAAGAAGACAATATTCCCGCTGTCACAGAGCACAGGTTTCAGTTGAGGGGAAAGGGTGACAAAAAAAATGAGCAAAGATGACTAGACATTGAATGGGGAAGGGAGAAATATTTTATTTTTATTTATTTTTTCTCCTGCAAAAAGCTTTATTGTTTCCATTTGGTCCAAGGCATGGGAAAGGGCTCTGGGTGGTTAAAAGCCGGCCTAGTGGTCACAGGGAAAGGCTCCAGGCAGAAGTCAGACACCAGGGGGGTGCAGGGGGGCCCTCAAAGGCCTCTGGGTTCCAAAGGCTACTAGCTGGCCTTGCAGGTGAGCTTTTGGAAGAGTTACTCACCCAGCCCAGCCTGGGACGGGCCAGACTGCTGACAGTAGTCAGGTGGTCGCCCATCTTCCTGATGGGTTTCACCTGCTCTTCAGGAAGTGGTTCTCCAGGAAGTCACAGAGGTGAGGGTCTGTGCAGGTAGACCCCAGGGCCTGCAGATCCCAAAGGGCCTGGTCCAGGCTCTCCAGCACTGTGGCAGAATCCCTGGCATCCTGTGCTTTATTTATTGCCTCACTAGCCTTGGGAGGTTTCTGCAAATCCTAGAAGAGGGCGCGGCTGCTGCACTGGTTTTGCACCCTCAAGAGACACTGGGTGCCCTGCCTCTGCTCCTCTGCCAGCTTGGTGAAGAAGGGACCCACACCCTCCAGAGCCACACTGTCTCAGTCAAAACAGAAGCCCAGGCAGAGGTAGGAGGCCCGCAGGTGCAGAGTGATCAGGCAGTTGATGGTGGCCTTCACCTTAGCGGAATAATTCTAACAAATTTGGGAGCTCGTGGTTGCTCAGCAATAAGGAATTAAGTCCCCCCCCCCGCCCCCCGCCACACACACACAAAGGTGTTGGCTGGTCTTAGAGGCCCAAGGTGGCTGAAATGGTTATCAAAGAGGAGACTTGAGAAGAGGCTGGAGAGGGCTCAGAGGCTGGTGAAAGGCGGGTTCCTGGGTCTCTTCTGTCCAAACGCTGTTGAAGTGAGACAGATCACCGAGAGCACTGCAAGGGGAGGGATATTTTAGATTGCGCAGTCAAGGAAGTCATCCCTGAAGAGGTAATAGTTGAGCTAAAAACTAATGATGAAAAAAGAGCTATCCATGTGGAAATGCGAAACCTTGCTTACCTCTGATGACTGCAAGATGGCCGCCGACGCTTCAAGCACCACATCCTCACATAACTTCAAAGCAGGTCCGGGGGGTTATCTTTATGAGTTTCCTTTCACTGGGAAGAAAAGTATTTCCCATAAGTCCCAGCAAACTTCCCTTCAGGTCCCACTAGCCACAACTCTGTCACATATCTACTCTCCTCCCAGTCGGGGCAGAAGGGACTGGAACTGCAGAGACTGGTTGGCAGGGGTGTCCTTTCCTGAGCATCTGCTGCCCCAAACCTCAACCAGACCAGCCTCCTGTCCTCGAAGAGCAGGAGCAGAGCAGTTACAAAGACCAAGCTGGAGATATTTCATTTACCCAGGATTTACCACACACTGCACATGCGCCAGGCACTGTGTGAGTGTCACGGATAAAAAGGAGACCTAGGTGCCCCTTTCACCATCGCATTCTACCGCTTAAAAACCTTCAGTGAGGGGAGCTCCCTCTTCCCTCCTCTTCACCATTTCAAAGGTCTAGCTCATGGTCGCTTGCCACCCTGAAGCTTCCTCTCTTCTTTTTAGATGTGAATGACTTCTCCTCAATTCACAGCTCGCATTTGTTTATTTTACCAATATTCACTGAACACCTGGGTCATGGGAATACAATATGGCTGAAAAGACAAGGGCCATGCACAGAGTTTATATTTCAGTGCCATAGAGAGTAGTAGCCAGTTACAAGAAAAAAATCAATAATGGTACAAGAGGTGAACCATGGGAGCCATCAGAATACCGAGAAGGAGAGCCTCTAATCATCCAAAGGTGAGGTGAGGGATGGTAATAAAAGAAGCTATATTTTGTTGAAAATATCATTTCACACAGCATTTCAACGATGAATAGAATTTAGGGAAATGAGGGTGGCAGTCAGGAGTTGGGGGAGAAGGCAAGGCTAGCCCACCTAGAAAAATGAGCATGAGCGAAGGGTCAGAGGTGGGAAGAGAGAGTTGGAAAAAGCAAAGGAAAGCTCGGTGTTGCTGGAGAAGAGTGGGCGGGGAGAACAGGGAGAGAGGAACCTACCACGACAGGACAAGGCCAGGTCAGCTCAGTGGTACACTCCTTGGCTCTGTCTGGAGGGAAGTCATGAAAGGGATTGATGTGCTCAGTTTGCATTTTAGAGAAGGTATTCTTGTTCCTTTGCTCCGATTCCCACACTTCAGCCATGCTACAAACAGGATGACCAAGAAGTCACTGTGGCAACAGGCTGGACCAGGACAGCAGCCGAGGAGTGGGCAGTGACAGAGGAGGTCCAAGACTCCGGGCATAACAGGGCTGTGACTGCTCAGAGAGGGGAGGAGGCCAGGGCGACTTCGGGCGGCTCTGGATGGGCACTGTGGGTACCCTTCCCTGGATGGCTTCGTTTCTGTACAAGTTGTTTGAGCAGCCTCCCACAGGGCCCTGAACACAACTGTGTTCGTTAATTCACCTTTTGCATGACTTTTCTCCTCCTCCTCCTCCTCCGCTTCCTTCATGCCAAAACCACTGCCACTTTTCTCAGACAGACCCATTTCAAGCTTCTCCTTTGGATCCACACCCACAGGAACCACGTAGAAAACATGGCTTCTGTGCTTCAGGTTTCTATCCTTCTGTCCCTTGAGCAAAGCCTGTATTTTTTGAGCCCCTACGGTGAGGCAGGCACCAAAATGCGAAGCGATTCCAGCAGTCAAAAGTTAGATTCCAGCTAACAAAAGTTTTCCAGCTAATACAAATGTAAGACCTCCGATCAGACATTTAAAGAAATCAGCGATCAATGAACTGCAATTAGTAATTGACACGAATTCAACCCCCCCTCCTTGCATTTGTATTTTATTCGTTAAAAAAAAAAAAAAACCAAACCCTCATGTCTTCACATTTAAAGATTAATCTTGAGAGACAGCAGGATAGCACATGAACCAGTGTCAGTTCTGGGTGTTCTCCATGTGGTCTTTCATGTGCCTTTTGTACAATCTGCAATTCTATTACTTGAGGTTACCCGTAGTAATTTTATGTCACTGTATAAGCTACATGATGAGGTTCCGAATATACTCTATCTCTATGTTTTAAGTAGTCCCACGCCTGGATGGAGCATCAAAGTGAGAATGGTGAGCTTAAAGGGCCTTTAAAACATCTTGAAGCAATAACAAGCCATAGACTGAAGCAGGGGCGTTTTTAAACATTGCACAGGACTAAAACAATTGAACCAATTTGTCTTTTGTTCTTTTTTTTATTGCATTATTACATTAATCCTGTTCAAAAACTCTAAAAGCATTGAACTCGGGTGCCACGCTATATACAAAGTCCTCCACAGGGCCTGGCTTGGCCCGAACGCGGGTTTCCGCCGCCCGGCGCGGAGCGCTGGGAAGGCCATCGCCCTGTGGCCATCGCGCGCCCTTGCGCTCGGTCCCAGGGAAGCGGCGAGAAACGAAAGGCCGCAGGACAGAACCCTCAGATCGTCCGGAGTTCTCCCTCCGGGCGGGAGGATCCGGACCGAAGTTTGCCAAGTTTTCAGGCATGCCCGGCTGAGCAAACGCCGCTGCTACCGGCCGCCTTCTCGCTCCAGTGGCAGGCCAGGCCCGTGGGAAGTTTGCTTCGGGGGTCTCGGGCCTTCAAAGAAAAATCCGGGGAAGCGGGGTGCGCCACTCAGGCCATCCCTCGGGGGGTGGGGGGCGGGGGCAGGCGACGAAGGGGACCCCGCGCCCCGGGGACAAAGAAGCTTGCTCACAGAAAGTGGAATGACCTTGGAAACTCGGGACCTCTTTAGGGTTTCAGTCACCCCAAGTGCCCTCCCTTTCCCCGCTGCTCCTTCTTTCCCGAATCTGCCCAGGTCCACTCGCCCCTTCGCCACCCGTGCTTTTTCCTGCTTTTTCTTTAAGAGTTCTATGCACTGGGTGCAGGAGGGGCCGCGCTGGCTGCGGGGCCCAGCCCTTCCCGCCGCGCCCAGGGCCGCCCTCCCCGCTGGTGCCGGCTGATTGATGGCCCCGGCCGGCCCCGGTCCCCTCTCCCCACCCCCGCCCCGCCTCGGCTCGCCCGCGAGCCCGGCTGTGTGTTTTGGAAGCGGCGCAGCGGGCTGCAGCCCTGTGACGCCCGGAGCGGGCAGCGCCGCCCTTCCTTCCCCCCCGGGCTCGGGCGGCGGCGCGGCGGCGGGGCCGGGGGCGGGCGGGGCGCGGGCTCCCGGGCGGAGGGCGCAGGGAGGGGGTGCCGTGCCGGGCGCCCCGGGCCGGGCGGGGGCCAGAGGGCGGGGGCCGCGCCGGGCCCGCCCAGCCCCACGGCCGCGCCGCGCCTCGCGGGACAGGTTCGGCCGGCGGGGCGGCGCCCAGCTCCGGGGGAATAATGAGTGTCTGTCAGGCCGTCCCCGGGTGACTGGGCGGGGCGGGGCGGAGGCGGCGCGGGAGGCGGGGGTGGCGGGGGAAGGGCGCAGGGCGGGGTGCGTGTTTGCGCGAGTGACTCGGTCGACCCCTCCGGCGGCTGCCTCCACCCAAGTGGGTGGGGACCCGCCCAGCCCGGGCGGCCGCCGCGGCCCCATCTCCCCTCCCTGACCCTCCCACCCTGGGTCCCAGCCTCTACTTACCCCGCCAGCCCCGGGAGGCTCGCAGAGCGAGCGGCGCCGGCGTCATGTGACTGCCCAGAGTTGGTGCCAGGAGCCAGAGGGGAGCCAGGAGCGAAGCCGCGCGGAGCAGCGCGCAGCCGGGGCCCGAGCCGGAGCGCAGGGCGAGCGTCCGCAGCACGCGCGCCCGTCTCCGTCCCCGTCCCCTGCGACCGCCGCCGCCGCCGGCGCCCGGACTGGAGCGCTGACACTACTGCGTTCGCGGGGTTCGAGGCAGCCCGGGGCCAGGCCTTTTATTTCTCGTCTGCAGCGCTCAGCACCGCTCCTCGAAAAGTAAGTCCCCTCTCCCTCACCATTCCTTCTCGCCCGACTCCCGCGGCCCCCCTCTTTGGCTTGTCCACTTTTCATTTTTTGTGGGGGTTGCTCCTTGAATGGGTTGGGGTGCAGCGTGGGGGTGGGGGTGCCTTGTGGGCTTGGGAAAGTGCAACAGCTCTTTGCAGCCAGGGGTGGCGGCGGAGAGGGAGGCTAGGGGGAGGAAGCCCCCGGGTTCAGCGGTTGAAAGTGTGGGATTGGGGGGAGCCACCGTGCGGATCCGGGGGTGTGGGGGGGGGCGAGGCTGGCGGCGCCCGCCGCGGCCTCGGCGAGGGCGCGGGCGGGGGCTCACCTGTGTGGTCGCCCGGCCGCCGGCCGCCGCCCGCCCGCTCCTTCGCGATTCTCTCCAAAGCCCCCAAAATCTCAGTGCTCTCCGCGTGTGGCAACGTTGTTTGGAGAAAGGTAGCGTCGAGGCCGCGCTCCTGCTCCTCCCCCTCCGGGTCCCCCACCCTCCTCTCCCGCGCCCTCCCCCTCTCCGCCCTCTGCCCGCGCCCCCCACCGCCCCCCTTCTCGGATGGGGCGCGCGGCTGCTCGCCCGTCCAAGCAAACTTGGAACAGCCTCCTAGTACCTCTGGGAAGAAACTTGGGGCATTTGGGACTGGAGGCAGCATCCCATTCACGGTCCTGGAGCCCAGGAGCCGCCAGGGTATCTGGATCCCCCAGGGCTGGCCGGATTTGGAGCGGCCTTCTCGGGGACACGGAGAGAACCTGCCGCAGTGCCTGGAGCAAGGATTGCAGCTTGGCTGGAGGCTGAGACCGCTTTAGGCAGCTGCCCGCAGTTAGGGACCAGAGGCGGGCGGGGACGGAGGGATTGATTCCGAGTGGCTTTCCTGGAGATGGCAGATAATACTAGGAATTGTCATAGCCACTTCTTTGGCAGATAACAGGGAGAATCTTTTCTGCTTTAAATTGAACAGCAACGTGGGAGAAAAAACATGTGAATGGGGCTATCTTTTCTGTCAGGTTGAAAGGAAACTGGTAATTGCTCACCTTCTTGTATTTCACTCAAATAAATATTTTGCACTGAATTTTTTACTAACTCAGAATGTATTTTTCCACTAAGATCACCAAGACCCTTAAGAGATATATTGATTGTATTACAAGAGGAGAAGGAGTCTGTAATTATTTAGACCTAGTACCTGTAATTATAAAAAAAACCCAGCGAGGCATGGGGCAGTTGTTCATTACAGGTTTTCCCACAGAGCAGTGTGGTAATGTCCTTTCGTGAGTGCTTTGTGTGTGGGTCTGAGGAGCATTTTATTTTTAAGAGAAGTCCATCCGGATGGTAATCTGCCTGACCTGAGGGAAGACTTCCAGGGAAGCAACAATCTGATAGCATTAACGTCTGCAAAATTTTGCAAGTGGGTATTTTTTAAAACAAGAGTGGAGGAATAAGTTTCTTCTGGCTTGAAACATGGAGTGTGTTAGTTGACCTTAGGCTGTTAACAGAAACCTGAAATGAGATGTTTGATTAATTTAAACTCCCTAGAGAAACATCTCAATTTCTACAGTCAGTGGGCTTTGCTGCAGAACCATTAGGAGGAAGAAAACCTAATGTACTATTAGTGAGTTCAATGAAGAGATACTGTCTGTAAGGAACATTTGGCTTGCAAGAAGGGGAATGCAAGTCTAAAAATTTTACTGTGACAATAACAAAGAAAAGTAGCTGCTTAGACCACAAAATCTTGTCAGATATGAAACAGCAAAATAGCTTTGAGAAAGGTATCTTTTTTTTTTTTTCACTGCAAAGTTTCTAAATTAAAATCCAATCTTCCGGTTGCTATAGGCCCTGTGATGTCTTCTCCTTTCTTTTCTTTCTTTTTTAACCTGGAGTTATATCTACACACAGATTCTTCAATCCCTGATAATGGAAACCTGCGTTTAACAGTCCTAACAAAATTAAGAGAAATAATGAGAAAAGGAATATGCATGGATTCTACTTCCTTAAAAACAACTAGAGGAAACATTTTAGCATGTTAAATTAAGTGTCAGGGGCAGGATCATACTCTCGAAAGGTGGATTTCTGTAGGTGTGTGTACGGATGTGTAGCTGTGTGCAAATATGTTTATAATCATGCAGTTAAAGAGGACTGGAAATTTGAGGTGACTCTAGCTGTCCCACACTCTCATGTCTTAGCTTTAGTTCTGTGGCTAAGGGACACTTAAAAATGGTCCAATTTTCAGTTGTGTTGAATAACCCAGTAATAATCTGAATTCTTAACCGCAGTGTTTTGTCTTTATTTTCCTACTGATGCTCTGAGGCTGAGCAATAATTATTCCCCTAACCCAGAATTTGATCATGGCTGGAGACCAGCCACTGGGATGGGGGATGAAGAGACAAAAGAAATCGGTAGGGAGGCTGCTGTTAATGAGGAAGGTCTCTGCTGCTTGAATATGATAAAATCCCATGTTCACTTACGATGTTTACTGTATGTGGAAGCTCCTATTTGTAAATAGGGCAGGTCCCTTGTATAAAGCTGGTGTTATTATTCACACCCATAGAACAAACACCTCCACCCCCCTGTTGTTGTCTTTAAAAACTCCAGCTGCTCATGAATATAGGGTCAGGGAGGGCCGGCTAAATGTTTCTCTGTGCTTTCTCTCCAGCACAGCCAGCAGAGCTGTTTCCTGTTCTTTGTTTCAAGGCTGGGGTTTGCGTCATACATTCCAAGTGGCATATGTGTGCTCTTTCCTGTTTCAGGCTGTTTTCTGGTAGATCAGTAGCCCGGACCAGGCCTCGGTCCCTGCCCCTAAATTCCCTAACTCCACCCAGGGGGTTATCATGTCTCTACACACTTGCTGTTGCTTAAGACGCCCATGTTATGTCATAATGAGAAGTCAGTTAACCTTTTTCCACACACCCTTTGCTCCAGTGTGTTTCTATGGGTGAATGAAGACTTTTTACCTTTGCAAGTTCATCATTGCCCATCGCGATTTTGAGAAATTTGTGTGTGTACTGGCTGGAAGTCTAAAGGAGGTTGCTTTGTTTGGGCGGTTGGTTTTTGTTTTGAGGTGCACAGGGTGTTTGTTTTGAGGTGGGCATTTGGCCCCGAAATGGTAGGTTGTGGACCAGGATTGCCACCTTACAGTTTAGAAGACCTAGCGTTGTCTGAAAGGTGTGTCCTGTCCTTGTGCATTTATTTAACAGGGACACCCAAGGCATGGGGAGCTTCCTAGGATGGAGAACCTCAGCCGTCTTGGCAGCCTGGGCTGACTTGAAAGTCTTATTATGTTAAGGAGGGAATCTTCAGAAAAAGTGTTAAAGCAAAACAAGATCTACTAGGGGGAAAAATCCCAGTTTCTTTTTTTTTTTTTTTTAAGACAAAAACTTGAGCACTAGGATAATTTTTTAAGGACAAAGATTTTACTGTCTTCTACACCTGATTTCCAAACTGAAAATAGTTAGAATAAAAAGGTCAAACAAAAGGAGAGCTGAAGATAAAAAATTCATTTAATGATTGCTTGGAAAATTTTAATCTTGTATTTTGAAAACAAGAAGAAGAATGCTGTTATTTTTATTGTTTTACAATAACTTTTTCATAATGCCCCCCCTTTTTGTGGGGGGGTTATTCTATCAGTTGTGGGTTAACAAATTTCTGGGTTAACTATGTAAAACCTACTTTAATAAATTATTTTTCTCTTGGTTCTCCAGAGACTAAGATTGATAGAAATGGTTGGAAAAGAAAACTTTTGGCAAGTTTCTATTTTAAAGTTCTTATTTATCTAAAGGAATTATTTACAATGTACTCTAATGGAATTAATTCAAAGAGTTGCTGAGGCAGCAAGTGAGGCCCTGGCCTTCCAAAAATTGATAGTAGTATTTGGTTTTAATATCCTGTTCCACCACATTTTTTCTTTATGGACAGATACACAATATGATATTAAGAAAACCTCTAGGATCAAATAGTAGACTACTGATAACTTTCCTTTGAAAAAAGATGGGAGTTTTGGAAAGTTTCAGTAAGGGTTTTTTTTTTTCTTCTTTGGAGGAAGCAAACTTGAAATATTAATCTGACTTTTAGGACAAGAGGCCTTTAAACTAAAATTCGTAAGTAAGCCAAATTGAAGCAAGTTTTTTGTCTTGTTTGAGTTCCAAAGTTGTTAGCAATCCAGATAGATTTGGTAGGCTGAGTTTTTTTTAAATTTGGCTTACCTCAAATCCTTTCTCCCTCCTCATTTGTGAGAAGAGGGAGATAGGTGTTTAATAGAGATGATTAGGATCTCATACAGTCTATCAGAAAAAAAAAAGTCTGCAAGTTTCTAAATGCTAGGCTAAACAATAGTGAAAATGATAACAGTCTGAAAGCTATTATAGTTAGAAAAATGGGAACAATAGTTTTGATCTCTTGACCATTTAAGTCATCATTCCTAATTCAATAACATTTTATCTCCACCCCCTTTTAGATACTTGCCATCTTACTGTTTCCAAAGCAACATTTTTGCTATAAAATGAACAGCTTTAAGGGGTATTTCTTACTCTATTTTCACACTCAGTCGTGTTCAAGGATGGATAGATAGGTAGGTAGATGGATAAAGACACACGACGTCCCTCCTCCTTTCACTGCTAGGAATCACACTGTTCTGGAAACTGGCTTTCTTTCTGAAGTGCTTCATTTATCATTGGTTCTAGCTCAAAAAAAAAAAAAAAACCCAAAACCCTTAGAGTCATAAAACAATGGTTACCTGCTTTGCTAATAATGTAATAAATACTCGAATCAAAATTCAGCTTGGAGTGAGGTGGAAGGGAAGGATTATAATGGGTTTTGGCATTCTCATTTCCCAGCCAGGTCTGTGCTTTTCTCAGACAGGGTCTGCTGTCCGAAGCAGAGCCGGAGGCAGGAAACCAGACCACAGTCTGCCCCACAGGGGAGAGCGTTGTCCAAAGGGGGTGGTAGCCCTGCTCCTCCCCCCACCCCCCAGCCACCCCTTCCTTGAAATTTAGCTGTAATGAAAGAGATACCATGCTAGAGAGATCGTTTCTGAACCAGAAGTAGGACTGTTTTCCTCCAAAGCAAAAATCTTAACTGGCTCTCTGCTTTTTCTGGAAGGTCACCGTAGTTCAATGGAACATTTAAAAAACTATCAGTATATTTTGTATCCCTCAGTCAGAGTGTTTAATAGTAAAGTTCTTTCTCTAGCAAAACAGGTTCCTGGAGCTGTTTGAAACTCCATTGTGTTGGCAGGTGGAATACATTATCATTTCCCCCATCTAATTATTAGGGGAGCTGGAGACACAATGTAGCAAGTTCAGTGGCCCTTCAGCCAATGTATCCCTGGTAACCCTAGGACTGGCTCTTACCCTCATTTCCATGAAGCGGGTGTTTCCTGAGGCTGCCCCCTTCCAGGAGGACCCCGAAGAACCCAGATGAGCCTGAGACAGGCTCAAGAAGGTTAACAATCTCTGGCAGGCCTGAGGCTCTCCAGGGATGGCCTGGAGTGAGTCTCAACCCAGATCAGTGGAGTTTGGCCAAATCTAGACCTAGGAGATCAAATGGACACTGAGGTCAGTCAGCGCGTCTACCCTGGAGGACAACCTGTGAATCAGGTGTGGGTTTTTCTCCTTTGGCCTATATGCTCCTCTTTCTACTAACTCCTGTTCTTTGAGCTTAATCACTGAAACCCACTCCTTTATCTGCTCCTGTACGCTACACCCCGGTACCTTCCAAAGTGTTGCACCCTAAAACTACTTACATTAGTCAGTTCAAGTTCCTGTTCCGCTTAGTTCTCCAAACAAGGGAGTATTTCTCTCCAGAGCCTCCGAAAGTTTTCACATTTATTTTATGGCTTGGGTTTTAAAAGATGATTTTTCACGCTCGTTTCACTGCCTCCCCTTTCGCACCCCCTCCTTGCCCCCCCCCCGGCAAATTCTGCGTGTGTGACACTTGGTAGAAAGAAGGTCATTCTGAGGCTCTTGCCCTTCATTTTATCCTCGCATGTGAGAAGTGTAGACTGACATCCATTCATTTATTCACCCCAGAAGTATTCATCCGAGCACCTACTCATTAGAGCTAATCTCAAATTATGTGCAGTCATTCTTCTTAGTTATGCCACAGGATGGAGCTGGTCCAGAGCGCTGTAACCTGAAAAGGCGTTTTGAAATCTTAATTGCCCGCTGGAACCTCCCCCTGGCCCTGCCTAGCATGGGCCCGTGTGGCACTGCCCCGGCTCACACCCTCCGTCCCAGGGAGGGACCCTAGCGTGGGACGGTTTTCCTTCGCAGAGGCCGGGCTGCAGCACAGGCTGAAGCAGAACAGAAAGAGCCCTGGTCAGCAGGCAGACGCCCTTTTGCTCTTGGCTGCAGCTCCAACCAGCTCTGCAAATCGGGGCACGTCGCGTCACCTCTGTTCCTCCATTTCCTCATTTCTAAAATGGGGATGAGGACCTGACCCTTCCACCTTTGTACAGTTATTATGTGGATTTCCGTATTTACTTGAATCAAGCTGCCAATTTTTCTCAGCAGTTTTATGGACCAGTTGCAGGTGTGTTGGCTAGGAAGAATAATGGCCTAATTTGGGGCCTTCAGAATGTCTTTTGATCTTGTGTCCAAGCATGCACTCCGAGAGAGAGGGTAGGCATCAGGGGCTGGCTAGGAGGGGCTGAAATCGGCAGCTACTGTAAATACAGAGTCCCCAGGTTCCTCAGGATGCTCACAGAAACTGCTGTCCCACTGTGGCTGTTTGTGGTGTGATGGTGTCCTCTGGCCCGGGGTCGGGGGGGCAGTAGAGCGGGGTGCCAAGGCCACCAGCCTTGAAGTCGGACTACTTGGAGTTCAGATCTCCGCTCTAGAATTTAGCAGCTGTGTGATCTTGGGCAGATCACTTTGCCTCTCTGTTCCAGTGTTCTCATCAGTAAAATGGGAAGGTAGTACCGACTTCATGGGCTTTAAATGACACAGTCCACGTAAAGAACAGCACCTAGAGATTGGCGGTCATAAAGGTTGTAAGGAGCAACAGGAATCTCCTGGCTTTCCTTGGTCAAGGGGAGTATCCCTTAAAAAAATAAACAACTACTGTTCTTTTTGTTAAGCATACCTTCCCTCCCTCCTCGTGCAGTTGCTGCTCCTCTCTCTGTCTCTCTCTCTCTTCTTCTATTTTAGGCTATAAAACAGGGTAGAGACCTTTAGAAGATCTTCCTGGGTGGGTAATAAAAAATTCTTTGAGGATGACACTGATAAAGTCTCTGGAGGACTCCTAACATGCAAGGTTAAGGTTAGGGGCAACCTAACTTTTTTTTTTTTTTTTTAAGAGGAGTTTAGTTTCCCTTCAGGGTTAGGTCCCCTTTATCTCCATTAATTATTTAAGGAAGATTTCAAGTGCATTCAAAGGGAAGGGGAAATGACTGTGAAACTCCTGCCATGGACTAAGTTCTCTTATATTAGCTGCTTCTGCCTGACCCAAAAAATGTCAGTGAACAAGCCCGATCTCCTTTAGGGAGTGGGGAGGGGGAATAATGCACTTCTGTCCCTTAGGTGCTCAGGTGCTAGGCTGAGACAAACCTTTGGCAAGTTGAAAGGCCCAGCCTATCTAGGTAAGGAGGCCGCCTCAGAACTAGCAGGGCGCAATCAGCCTGCTGCACCAGAGTGGGGAGGGCCTTGAGCTGGTCTTTGAAGAATTAGGAGGATTTAGATAAGCCGGAAGGGGAGGGGGCATTCCTTGCTGGTTGCCCAGCATCAGGGCCAAAAATGAACAAAGGCATTGGGGGTGGGGGGCAGGGCACCTAGCATGAAGGGCGCTTGTTGGAGCAGGGGGCAGCTGGTTAGGAGCGGGGTGCCTGAAGCCCTGGGGATCCCGTTGGAGGGAGGAAGGCCTGTGAGCTTAGGCAAGGCTGTGTGAGAAGAGAGGGCTTAGAGAAATATGGATGGTGAGGGGACCGGGATGGACTGGAGGGGCCTAGGGCTGGGGTGGGGCAGCCAGAGGAGGAACGCCCAGC